GCTTCTGTCCCTCAACTTTGCAGCACTCAAGCCTGTGGTTTCCCCAGGACCTTCCCAAGTCCCCTTCCCTGGGCTCACAGCTTGATCTGCTGTACTGGACAGCTGCCAGGGGCCGTCCACACACTGACCACCACCACTGGTCCTCCTGGCCACCCGGAGTTTTCTCTCCAGGTCCCAACGTCTCCATGTGAGGCTTACTGGGGATGGCCAGGACACACCTGAGTAGAGGGAGGATGGCAGGGGAGCAGCTCAGGCCTCTGACCAGCCCTGGGAAAGCCTCAACTCGGACACCCTATCCTGTAGGAAGCCTTCCATAGTCAGGTGCCTGGGAAGGGCAGGACATCAGGCAGGGCTGTTACCCACTGAGGGTCCAGCTCCGGCCACACCAGGTGACCTGGGACCACTCTGGCCACTAGTTCTCCCTTCTGTGAGGTGAGGACAGTGGCACATACAACAGAAGGCAGTTAGGAGGACTAGATGAGAAGGGATGGGCAGGCATTGGGCTGGGCAGTGTCCTGTAAATGTAGCAGCAAACGCCATCACCCAGGTGCATGGCCTCACAGGCTGCTTCTGCTAGACAGACCAGCCCCAGGGAGACCCCGGCACGAGGGGCATCTGCTCTCTGTGTCTGAGGCTCTGCACTCTCCGTGGCTGAGCTTGTTTCTCACCTGAAGAATGGCAAGTCTACCTCTGCACGGGGTCGAGGTGTGACCACGTGGGCTGGGCATGGGCATGGCCCTGGCCAGCAGTGGGTGCTTGAGAGCCTGCAGCCGTGATGACGGACACGGGCTGCTGGAAATGGGGGTCAGCCCTGTTCTTTCAAGGCTGGGGCAGAGCATGGGCCAGCCAGGCCCTCCTCTTCACTGACTCCAGCTGTCCCTAGCCTGGACAGTGGCAAGCCCTGGCTTGAACAGAATGATGGTCCCCAGAGATGTCCACCTGGAGCCGTCTGGAACCTGGGAACGGGACCTTATCTGGGAAAAGGGTTTTTGCAAATGAAACTAGATTAAGGATCTTGAGATAAGATCATCCTGGATTACCGGGTGGGCCCCAAATCCACTGAAGAGGGAGACAGGTGTAGGGAGAGGCCTTCAGGAAGGACCCTCCCTTGGCCTGGGGAGCATGGCCCCGACACACCTTGGTCTGGGACCTGCAGCCTCCAGAGCGGTGAGAAAGAAATTTATGTTGGCTAGGTCACCCCATTTGGGGTACCTCGTCATGGCAACCTCAGCAGAGCAGCATCTGCTCCTCCTAGCCCAAGACCTCGCTGGGCTGGAAACTGCTGTCTGAGGAGGAGCAGCCTGGGCTGGGCTGTGTCCACCTGTCACAAGGCCCTTGGGAGAAATGTTGCCTGTGAGCTGCCTTGATGGGAAAGAAACCCCTCAAGCAGCACTTGGGGTCCTTGCAGTGAGGCAGCTGACCCAGGCCCATGATCTTCTGGCCACATCTGAATCTGAAACGGCCCCATGGAGACATCTTTGCTCTGTCTACCGGGATGTGGGTTTTTTATCGTTTGGGGCCCTTGGCAGACCCATCTCACTGCCTGCTGCTGAGAAAGGACTGTCTGGGGAATTCTGTCTGCCAGCCAGGGTGGCTGCAGGGCTCCGGGGAGTTCCACTCAGGCCAGGCTGAGTCAAGTTGGCTGCTGGACACTAAAACTGGGGACCCGGCAGGGCCAGAGCCGCCAGCCCTCAGCTCCGAGACCTGAGTGGCTCGGGGCCACCTGGGCTTCATTTGTCACAGAGAAATGACAGAACCATGCCTGCTTCAGTGTTGTCGTGGCTTTGATAGGGCACCTTCTGTCCTAGCATGTGGAAGACCCCAGACCTCTGACCAGGGCTGGGCAGCAATTCCAGGCTGCACTGGGAGCCTTCTTGGCTCCCTCACTCAACTTGGACACCTTGTCCTTTAGGAAGCCTCCCATGGTCAGGGCTGTGGCTGCCTCTCAGTCATCTGTTGCCCCAGTGCTCCCCACCCCGGGGTCCACCTAGCACAAGCCCCCTGCCCCAGAACATCCAGTCAGTGGACAGTCCTGGAGTCCCTGCCTCTAGTGCTAGCAGCTGCCACACAGGGCCAGTCAGGCCATCTGGGTGTCATCACGTCCTACAAAGACCCTTTTTCCAGCTGAAGTCGTACTCCCAGGTTCTGGGTGGACATTGTGTGAGGGACACCACTTGATCCAGGACAGCAGCTGAGTGGAGCTGGGGGACCTGGACAGGCTGCCCTTCACCTGGCCACTTGGTGAGCTCTCACAGCCCTATCTCTGTCAGGCTCTCAGTGGCAGCCCTAGAACCCCAGCTTTTCTCTCTACCTCTGTGGGTTGCTGAGCTGGTCATGGGAGCCTCGAGTGCAGGGCCCAGCTGGCAAGAACAACATTCCCCCCATCCTGGGGCGGCAGCAAGAAAGGCTGGTGGTGCAACTGGCCTCCCCGCCTCCCCGCCCCGCTGTGTCTGGGCCAGACCCTCACAGGTGCAGCTGGCAGGTGGGTGGGAGCCTTACCCATTGAGAGCTGGGCTCCCAGCCAACCCTAAAAGTCTCATTTAAAACTAACCTTTGCAACGTATTGGGGAGTTTTTTCCTTGTAAAATGCACTTGTCCTGATTCATTTTACTTTAGCTTGGCACAGCGTACTCTTTTTATATACGTGTGAACATACATATGTAAACACACGTGTGATGTTGATGAGTTAATGCTGGTGGCATTTTTACAAAGCAAAGATGTGGGAACCAAATAGTGGCCCCTTCTGGGGAGCTTCCCATTCACTGTCTTGAGGTGCATGTGTGCGTGTCGCGGGCAGGGTGTGAGCAGACCGGGAGGTATAAAATCCCCTCTTCTCCAGGAGCTTATGGTAGGGACATGGTCATGAAAAACTGTGAGACGCACACTGTGATGAGCTCTGGAATTGAGAACATGCCATCCTGGGCACACAGTCCAGCGATGCCATCGCCCCCAAGGACAGCCCAGCTGAGCTATGGTTTCTCTGTCCTGGGCCAGCTGTGTTCAGACTGATGAATCTTCAGTCTTGGGCACTGAACATCGTCATAGAACCTGATGAAAACCAGGGACGGTGCTTGGGAGTGGGCCATAGTCACGGAGAGGGTTTGCATGGCCCCCGATCAGAGCCCCGCAGGGGGCTCCCTGAATCTCAACGTTGGGGCAGGTCCATGGGGGATGCCCACCTGTCTCAGCTTGGAGGTTGAGCAGGGCGTGGGAGAAGCTGCCTTTGGAGTTCAGAAAAGAGAAAAGAGCATCCTTTGAGGTCTCAGGGGTCTCTGCAGCAGAGGGAGCTGCGTGCCAGCTCGACGAGCTTCCCTCTGGCCACAAGGTACGCCTTGGATGTGCCGCAGCTCCTGTTGGCCTTATGAAGGGGGCTCTGACTTTCAGCCTGGCTCTGATGTGCTACTGCCTGCACCTGTTCTGGCATGTTCCAGCCCTGGACCAGACACCAACTTGGGGGCAGGGAAGCCCGTATTTCCCCAAACTGCCAGCCATGATGTTCAGGGAGCGCCAGGCTAGGACACACCGTCTTTAGGTGGGGGAGAGCTGCTCTGGGGCTTGTGGGCTGGGGACTGAGCCCCTGGCCTGCAGTGGGGGGTTTGTCAACAGATTGATTATTGGTGATTTGATCAGTGCTTTGTTATGGGATCTGTCTCCATAGTGTTCCCGCCCCTGTTCTCTTGTGCATAGTCACTACCACCAGCTTCCTGAGGTATCTTCTACAAGGTCTGGCTTCCAGCTGTTTCCCAGGGACATGGAGCACAGTTGTGCTGAGGTAGTCTGTTCTGTTTCTAAAAACCGAAGCTATGTGAAGGGTAGAATCTCCTCATTGCCAGGTTCTGCATGTACGTTTTCCCTAAATCATCGGGGCTGCTCCCTGGTGCGGGGGCCGATGGCAAGTGGTCTGAGCATGTGGGGAGCCAATGTCAGGGACCGACCCGAAGATGTTCACACCGTTTCCTGGACAGGTATCTGTGGCTTGTGTTACTGTATCTGTGTAAATGTTAGATTTATGTCCCTTCAGGAAAATCATTTCTAGTTAGCACAGAATTTTCTGACTGATGGGCACCGGAGGAGGCAGGTGTGGGCTGGGTGCCATGTCTTCTCGGCCTGTGGCGGTGGGATTAGCCTCTGTGAAGGGGCCCTGGAGAGTTGTCTGCCC